TTTTTTTTTTTGTTTACAAAATCGCTGCTGTGGCAGCGATTTTTAATTAAAAAAAATAAAAAAAATTTAGACGAAATCGCTGCTATTTCGTCATTTTGTCAGAGTAAAATCGCTGCTGACGCAGCGATTTTACCCTTTTGGCTAAAATAAAAAGTGATGTGCCCTTTTGGAATTTTTGACAATTTTTTTTGCCCTTTAGGCTCCGGACTCATCAAAAGTGTACCAATATTGCAAATATGAGGGACTATTAGTGTTCCATGTGAAAATTCAAGAATGACTTTGAGTTTTAATCCAAAGATGAAGGACTATTTTGGGCCTTCTCTCCATACTTTTCACTGCTTTCTATTTAGTTAGGTACTTTTAGATTATTATTTTTTTGAGAAATAATGAATCCTCTTCCCCTTTTAAGTGGTCCAGCTAATTCTGGCGTGGTGACTATTCTCTTTTTTTTTTTTTTTTTTTTTTTTATGTAATGTAACTATACTATACTATTTTGCTCCTTCCAAGAAGCAATAAATCTTAGTCCCTTTCTATATTTATTTTTATTTTTATTTTTATTTTTATTTTTATTTTTATTTTTATTTTTATTTTTATTTTTATTTTTTTAAGAATAAGTTGCACAATAAGAAGTTGACTTATCCTTGATTTGAGTTATTCATTGTCATTTGGTTCAATTTCAAAAAGTAAAGAAAGAAAAAAGAATGTGAAATTGCTATCATGACTGGAAAATACAAAGCCACCACTTTGATGACTATTGCCAAAAAGAAAAATATTGACTACTACTAAAAGATAAGGACTACCATATTCAACAAATTCCTTCATCAACAAGGCATGTTTTTTTTGTCATTTTGACATGTGAAATCTCCTAAAAGTCTTGTTCATCCAACTTCAACTTTTCCCCTTTTTTCAATAATTATGAGTCACTAATTATAGATTTTTCTTCAACAACCAAAACACAAAGAACCGTGCAAGTATGGAGCAATCAAGTTCAGGTGAATCCAGTAATTTTGTATAAATATTTAATTATAAGCCCAATAACTAACGAGTTATGAATATATTAGAAAATTATAAATTCAGATTATGCCTCTAATAATAAGAGGAAGGAGCTGCTTTTCAACTAAAAGGCCATTTGGATCAAGGGGTTAGATAAGTTATCCTAATTTAAATTTATTTCATAATTGATGGAAGGTATTAGCTAAAATCGATAAAAATGAAAGAAGTTATCTAATTTATAGTCTTTAGTTTTAATTCTACGAAAACAATCCTGAAATATCTTGATTTCAAATCAAACTACCCCTAAATTCTCTCAAGAGGTAAAAAAAACCAATGACAACAATATGTTTACCTAGTAAGCATTTTAATTTGACTTTTAATGAGGTTGTAATAGGGCAGCAAATTTTAATTCAAAGATGGTGGTAGAAATGATATCACAAAATCTTACCCAACGTACGCATAACAATTTATAAAATATCATATCAAAATTCTTGTTGAACTTTTCAATATTTCGTACTCCCAAACTATATATACCGATAATATAATAATATATTTTATTATTGTTCTTACTTTAGTAGGTTATATTCCTTATTTCTCATGGTACTAATTCCTTTTTATTTATTATGAATGATCGATCATATACAATTATTTTTCAGGTAATCTAATAATATATTTTTTATATCGTCGATATAAAAAAGAAACTTAGGAAAATAATGTTGTAATCATAGTATAATGATCTCAATCTAACCACTCCCACAAAATCTTTGACATTGTTGGCAACCAAATTTTGTTTAAAAAGTATTTGATTGTTGGGTGGCTGCAGACAAACAAAGTTCTTACCTTAAATCATTAATTTCTCATGTAATTCAACGGATTATTATAATAATTTGAGGTTTGAATTATGTTTCATTGGTCAAATAAATTTTCAACGTCTAAGAAATTTATTTTCTACTCAAATCATTACCAATTGCGTGTAGAAAGTGTCACCACCCCATTAATTAATTAATATGTGTCTGTGTTTAGAGAAAGAAAAAATAGAATTTGTTATTAATAATTTATTTTTAAAATAAAATTGTACGATTTGGATGGTTAGAATAATTCCAATCATAGCTAGAATTTTTTATTTAATTTGTGTCCATATTTACTGAAAATACCTATCATATTTATTAAAAAAAGTATCGATGTTTACCAATTTTATATCAATTTGTACAACATAATAATTAATACAACACCGGCAATCTCAATATGGCAACTCATCCAGGCCCAGATAACTTGATATGTCTCACTCTTTTGTAGATATATTTATTTTTTTAAAAAGGGGAAAAAATTGTATATAATGAAATGTCGTGGAGAATTTTCTTTATGTTTTTTTTAAGTAATTAGAATGTTTGGTAGTATGACTATTATTTAAGTTTATTAGGTATAGCTCAACTAATTTGACATATATTAAGGTGTGTTTCATATGATTGTTTAAAATACTTTTTCGAAAATAAATTACTTAAGAATATGAAAAATGACTTTCTTAATAGAGTTATTGGAAATAAGTTTTATAAGTAGTATTTTAATTTTTATATTGATTGTGTCCACCCAAATCCCACCCTTCGATACACAAAACTCATCTTCACCCCGACCCCATAGACCCCATCCCCATCACCCTATATCTCCTATCCTATTTTCATAATATTTATCTAAATTATATAAATAAATAAAAAATAGAATACTAAATTTATTTACTTACATATCTAACACAAAAATTTTTTATTAAAAAATCATTTATTTTTCGTGAGAACATTTTCAATCGTACCAAACACACCCTAGCTATAAGATAATATCAAATCTAGCATACCATACTTGTCAAATCAATTTGATTTTAATCATTTCTAGACTTAGAAGAAAAGCTTAAGAATTAAGAATACTAGTTAGTCACGAGACAACTAAATATGCCTTTTAAAAAAAATAGAAAATTATTGAAGCGATG